ATAGACAGCACAGAGTTTGTGTGTTTTACGTGAAGTACCGAGTGGGTTGCAGACTTCAAAGTCATCTACGTATAGACAGATGGAGATTCTCAGTTCCCCCCCTGCCAGAAAATCATTGTTCTTGAAGTACTGGCCATCTTCAAAAGATTTATAATGAAGGTGGTCATTCACTACCTGTTGTTCTCTTCTCTTTTCAACAACCTTGCTAAGCACATCATTTTGATGAAGTAGCTGATGTAAAACCTTTAGCAAAGGGACATACTGAAAACTTCTTTTAGTCTTTGCATCAAGTATGTACTGAACTGGATCAACAATATTGAAATGATCCTTGTAGTATTGCTTCCTCTTAAAAGCAGTGGCTAAAGGTCCTTCCTTTTGTAAAGCTTTTGACAGAGGGTTGGACGTACAAAGTGTACAGCCTAACTCATTAATGAGCAATTGGTCAACTTGCAAGTTATGGTTACTGAAGAAATCAGCTAGAATGTTGTTGGATACTGGCACCAGAGAAGAACTAATCAAATAGTGCAACTCGTTTAGCAGCTCATCAATGGCAGAGCCTGGTACATGGAAACAGTTTTCAAGTTTTAATAAAACAAATGCCAGTTTCTGTTCTATAACTTTATGCAAGTTCTCTGACGTTTGGACCAATGCACCAACCTCAAGCTCATCATCGTGAAGTATCTCATCACTCTCTGTCAAGCATGTATCTCCCAAAGTACAACTCAATGAATCTGCCCTTCCATTTTCCACAATTCCAGCTTTGAAATTGTTCAGTGTATGCGTCTTGTGCTTTCTGTTCTTGTGTGATTGATATGTTCCGTAAATATTTGTTGAAAAGGAACAACTTTCAAACACACAACAGATGGTTTCGTGTCTTTTGAGATGGTTGTTAACATGAACGAAAAACTCTCTCAATGAGACAATGCCACTACAAGAACAATGATGGCAGGTAAATGTTGTTACATTTACAGATTTTTGTGACGTTTGATCAAAATGTGATCTGGATAGATGACTTCGAAGGGCATTCCACGTTTTAAATGTGCATGGGCATTTAGAATATGTGCATGGATAAGGTTGTCTGCGGCCAAAGTGGCCATGTATTAACCTGTAGTGCTTCAATAGCTGAAATCTTGAGGTTTCCTCTGCACCACAGTCTTTACACTTCCACATGTAACTGAAAATGAAACAAACAAAAATATTAAACAAAAAATGACAGAGTATAGATCAGTGATGCAAACACAGGTATGGTGAAAAAAAGAGAGAACTATTCGAAGCAGAGAAAAAACAGCGTAATATACCATCTGACAAAGGCCTGTGCTATAATGCTTCAATGAACTGGCTATTCTTTATAATATACTCAGATCAATAGGAGACAGAGATGTTAAGTTATAAATCAAGATTTTTCATTTTGGATATTTTACAAATCACTCCCCTTTTAAACTATATTCTTGTTATTTTTAACAACTTTTTTGTTACTGTCATATAGTATTTTATACCTGTTTTTCATTTAGTCTCTAATGTCTCATTAATAACTATAATGATCATATCAAGGTGTGCCTTAACCTCACTGAGCTGAGGTTATTTGAGCCTCTCAGGAGAGAGCTCTCTTCCACCTGGTTGTAGAGAAGCTCTTTAAATTCGTTAGCATAGCTAGCTAACCAGATGCTAATAACAACAGATCGCCACTGTGATTACAACTAAAGACACAGCCACGCAAACACTGCGGCATGTGTACGGCTCCTTATGGGTACTGCAATATTTGAAGAGCTGGAGCGGCTTTCCGGTGCTCTCCGTCAGCACTCCTTTCAGACATATACCACGTGAAGACACGTTACGCTCGTGTTGTGTTCAAGGAACCTGTCCTTGGTCAGGAAAAACAGGCACTCGCTTGTTTAATTATTTTGCGGTCTAGATTTCTTCTTTTTTTAAGTACGAAGTTGTTGACGGACTCCAAACCCCCACCCCCCCCCCCCCCCCCCCCAAAAACGAAAACTCTTCGGTTCTCCACGAATTACACAAGTCACCCAAATCAGCGTTAAAAAAGCGGGAGGCGCCGAAAAGCACTAATTTGCATCACTGAGCCCCGCTCCCTCTCTCACTCTCGCTCGCCCAACCACTAACGTAGCTGGTTTACGTTAGCAAGCTAGCTCTCACACTGTAACATTAGTGCTATCACACAGTCTGTTCTTTATCTGCAAGCTTCTGTCTTCCCCCGCCACAGGCATCTCAGTTGCCGCCGGTTAATAGCCGGTCCTGCTCACTGACAGTCAAACACATATCCCTAAACCCGACCAACAGCCATCTTCGCGCCACTTTCACAATATTAAATTAACATTTCACAACACACAAGTCAGTAATTTATAATTCAATTTAAAACTGTTTGGTTGCTACTGTGATATATTCCTGCTGGCTAGCATTAAGTTAGTTAGTTAGCTTTCCAGCTAGCCAACCTTAGCTGCCATATGCGAAAATATTGCAGATATTTCTGCGAGTTACAACACTCTCAATTTCACATTCTAACCGCATGTTTATAAACCAACTTAAAATGTTGCATAGGAAAAACATACTCACTCATATTCATTTGGATGTCGCTCAGGTCTCTGCCATTGCTTCTTCAGCTTCTCCTGTCCTTCCTCACCGCGAAAAAGCCCACGTCACAATCATATCCCTCATGTGAGCCTCTGCGCATGCGCCACAGGCAATTTACACAGCTGTGTTGCGTTGGAGATAATTGAGCAGCATATGTGGCTTCAACAGGTATCCATTTTAAGAAAACCCTACTTAAATCAACTAGGTTTAAACAGCAAACTCAGATATATCAATTAAATTGGGTAAAGATGCATTCATTAGATTCAACAACTCACAGAGTTCACTTTTTTGAGTGTAGGCCAGATGTTCTCTGCTTGTGCCAGAGCGGGCTTTACTGATAGGCCTGTGTGAGTTTAAGCTTCCCTAATCTGCTCTGTGCTGGTGTCAGCCACCCCGAGGAATCAGAGGTGATGAGGGTGCATCCTCAGCATCTCCTCCTGCATCCTCAGCATCTCCTCCCCTTGTTGTTGCTATGATGGCTAGCACTGTTTACCGACAGCTCGCAGAGGAAGCGTTTAGCATGACCGGACAAAATGTTCAAATGCGATCTGAAAAGCAGGGGAAACGTGTGCAAGAAATGCGGATGTGAAACCCTTTAAAGGAGTCTCAAATTGAAAGCAGTGTTAAAAAAATAAATGTCAAGCTTAATCTTGCGGTATCTTTTCAAATGCAGCATCCAGTGTAGGAGTTTGAGGCTCTGGTCAACACCTAAATATGCCAGACACAGGTTATTAAACCAACGTTGAATCCACTGCAGCTACAGTTTTGTACCTCGGATGTTTTGAACTCAATATATTTGCATGAAAGTCAGGATGAGTAAAGAGTTCCTCCTTTTTTTGGTCCTGAGAATTAGAATAAGCCACTCCTCTTTTCCCACCGGGCCCAAGGCATCATGGGTGCATCCTCAGCACCTCCTCCATGATGCTTTCTGGGTTGTAGCTCTAATAGCTAGCACTGGATACCCACAGTTTGCAGAGGAATGAAATGACCGGACAAAATGTTCAAATGCAATCTGAAAAACAAAGGGAAGCATGTGAAGGGAAAGCGGATGTGAAAGCTGTTAAAGGGGTCTCACATTTAAAGCTGTGTTAAAACATTAATGCCTTCTGTCTCCTCCTGCAGCTGTGGCTCCTGCTTTCATATATTCTGTTGCTTGCATGCAGGATAGTCCTTTAAATTGCTGCCAACGCTTCTGATTAATCAGCGATTCATATAATGAAGTGAAATAGCATTTCATCAACCTCAGCTGACCAAAGCAGAACTCAGCAGAATACAGAAATCACCATGAAGTATTACACATTATAAGGAAAGATGTTGTGTATTTGTATTAAGCACTTATCAAACAGAAAACCAAAGTGCTTCAGACAGTTAGCAAAGAAAATATAGTAAAAATCTGCGATAAAACAATCAAAGTACTAAACAAACCACAGACAAATCGTATAATATCGAAACACAATTGAAACTTGAATCATGCAAGATAGTGTCATGTTTTATATATTATAAGGGCTAAGCAAAAAAATAACATGTAATTTAATCTTCCTTGCTCAAAAGTCATCATTCCCTGCCAGAGGAAAGTGTTATATGTTATTCTAAAGTACACAAAAAACACATACAAATGTAAAAATGTCAGAAAACTGAGAGAGGAATTTGACTCAAACTCATATTGTTGATCATGAAGGTTAAGTGAAGCAAAATGACTCTCTTTGTCAAAGCAGTGGTGTGGCTCTGAAGAGAAATAAAAGCAAGGTGAAGCAATGAAAATATTCTAAACAACCCCACTCAAAAATATCAAACTATCCCTTTCTCTGCACTGTTATTAAAAGCGCTGATTTTACATTTGCCCGTCCCCGTCTATGTCTGTGTTTCCCAGTCTGTTTGTTGCTGTTCCTGGAGGATGCGATGACGTGGGTTTTCTCCGTTGTCCACAGAGACTGAAACTGTTTCCATTTTATTTTCATCCTCCTCTCACACTCCCACTGCTTTCTGCTCCGTGCACACTCCCTTTCACATCCAGTGACTATACCCTGCAGTCAACAGATGGCAGACAAAGACACATTTTCCAGGCGTTGCAACACTTTAACCTTGATGTAGCACTCGACAAGCACCAACCGGCATCATCTGTTATCCGACTCGTCCTTGTCTGCCTTTGTTTCCTTGTCGCTACTTAATTCCACATTGAAAATGCACATAGAATTAGGCTACATGTCTGCACACATGATCAATAACACTGAGTGCAGCTCTCCCAAATATGGATCATGCATCAGCTTCGGTCAGGATAACCTAATGGAGGTCACTGTAAATGTGAAAAGAGAGACATTATGTACCACAGAAGGGATGGGGGGTGGACATCCTTCACAGTGAGACACATGAGCTGCATTATATATATATAACCCCGTCTCCTTCCCCTCCAGACTCTGACAAAGCCGGCCATCTTTGCCAGGGAGAGCAGTTGTGATTGTCGCGCCCCTCATGAGAAGCTCACCATCGCTCAGGCCCGCAGAGGCACCCCAGGTACAGGAGAGCATTTCATTTAGCTGACACCTTCATACAAAGAGACTCAGTGTGTCCAACCATAAAGAAACAAACTAAAAATAGCAAGAATCCTGCAAGGACGTTAGCTATAAGAGAGGTCATTGTACTGTAAGTGCTAGAGAGAAGACCTCCTCCTGCCCCTCCTTCTTACAACTACTGTATCATCTTTATCTTCATTATATGAGTTAATTCTCCCTTTCTATAACTACATTAGCAACTGCTTTTGCTATGTTTTTCTACTACTACACTGTGACTTTACTTCAACGACTGCATCTACTATTTCCTCTGAAGTTACTCCGAATATCACAACAACTACGTTTGCTACTGCTATTACTGCTACTGCTACTATTACACTAGTGCTCATCTCTTTTACCAGAACTGCTACTCCTGATGGCCCCTGGTTTTCAAGAAACAAAAACAATACGATATTACTATGAGAGACACTAGAAGACTACCAAGCCACACAAACATCTACAAAGAGACACTAGTAGACTACCAAGCCACACAAAGATCTACAAAGAGACACTAGTAGACTACCAAGCCACACAAAGAACTACAAAGAGACACTAGAAGACTACCAAGCCACACAAAGTTCTACAAAGAGACACTAGAAGACTACCAAGCCACACAAAGAACTACAAAGAGACACTAGTAGACTACCAAGCCACACAAAGAACTACAAAGAGACACTAGAAGACTACCAAGCCACACAAAGAACTACAAAGAGACACTAGTAGACTACCAAGCCACACAAAGATCTACAAAGAGACACTAGTAGACTACCAAGCCACACAAAGAACTACAAAGAGACACTAGTAGACTACCAAGCCACACAAAGAACTACAAAGAGACACTAGAAGACTACCAAGCCACACAAAGAACTACAAAGAGACACTAGTAGACTACCAAGCCACACAAAGAACTACAAAGAGACACTAGTAGACTACCAAGCCACACAAAGAACTACAAAGAGACACTAGTAGACTACCAAGCCACACAAAGATCTACAAAGAGACACTAGTAGACTACAAAGCCACACAAAGATCTACAAAGAGACACTAGTAGACTACCAAGCCACACAAAGATCTACAAAGAGACACTAGTAGACTACAAAGCCACACAAAGAACTACAAAGAGACACTAGTAGACTACCAAGCCACACAAAGAACTACAAAGAGACACTAGTAGACTACAAAGCCACACAAAGATCTACAAAGAGACACTAGTAGACTACCAAGCCACACAAAGATCTACAAAGAGACACTAAAAGACTACAAAGCCACACAAAGAACTACAAAGAGACACTAGTAGACTACCAAGCCACACAAACATCTACAAAGAGACACTAGTAGACTACCAAGCCACACAAAGAACTACAAAGAGACACTAGTAGACTACCAAGCCACACAAAGAACTACAAAGAGACACTAGTAGACTACCAAGCCACACAAACATCTACAAAGAGAAACAACAGAACTACAAAGAGACACTAAAAGACTTCAAAGCCACACAAAGAACTACAAAGAAACACAATAAGTCTACAAAGACACATTTAAAGGATGTAGGAAAAGAGCATGAACAGACTATTAAATAAAAGATTCTCAAAATGACTGCAACGAGACATTTAAAGACTACAAAAAGAAGCAGAATGACTCTCACCATGATAAGGGTTAGTTGTGATGTACTCTTGTGTGTCTTCAGTGGACCGGCCCGTCAGAGTGTACGCAGATGGCATCTTCGACCTCTTCCACTCGGGGCACGCTCGTGCTCTCATGCAGGCCAAGAACCTTTTCCCCAACACCTACCTCATAGTAGGAGGTACACACACACACACACACCCTTAAATCCTCCAAATATCCCCTGCAGATTTGTGTCACAGTGATTAATTAGCGTGTGTGTTTTGTGTGTTTGGCTCAGTGTGCAGTGATGAGCTGACCCACAAGTTTAAGGGCTTCACGGTGATGACGGAGTTCGAGCGTTATGAAGCGCTGAGACACTGCCGCTACGTGGACGAGGTTCTGAGAGACGCTCCCTGGACTCTCACACCGGAGTTCCTCGAGAAACACAAGGTGCGTGTGTGTGTGCTGGGTTTCGCTGTGACTCGCTGTCTCGCAGACGGCCACTGGGCTCACAGGGAGGGGGGGGGGGGGCAGGAGCTCCAACAAGCCGTTTAGGACAGAGAGTGAATACACATACTGTACAGAGATGCTGTATGAGAAACCAATGTGAGTTTGGAACATTGCACAATATAATCTATTTTAGTAGACCTCAACAATGGAATTATGATCAGTAGAAATGGCCATGACATGGGACCTTTAAGAGTCATTGCAGCATCCCATAATCCCCTCTGTTTCAGCCCTGTTTCCAAAGTGCTGATTCTCTGTCTGTTACTTTAGATGAAAATAAGGAGCCCCTCCCCACGCCCCTCTGAGAGAGATTTGGTTAAAAAGAACACAATGGTGCTCTAGGAGGAGATTCAGGTGATAAGGTGGTGGGGGGGGTTACCTTGGTGGTTGATTGGCTAATGGTTACACAAGCCAACACATCGTTATGACATCATAAAGTGGCCAAAATCTGATCAGCTCATTTTCAGACAGGTTTTTATAGAAATGGATCAGGAGAAAAAGAGAGAGAATCTTTGTTCCTGAAACTTTCAGAGTCTCTTTACACAGAGGGGACACATGTTGATGTAGAAGAGACATGAAGAAGAGGGGACACATGTTGATGTAGAAGAGACATGAAGAAGAGGGGACACATGTTGATGTAGAAGAGACATGAAGAAGAGGGAACACATGTTGATGTAGAAGAGACATAAAGAAGAGGGGACACATGTTGATGGAGAAGAGACATGAAGAAGAGGGGACACATGTTGATGTAGAAGAGACATGAAGAAGAGGGGACACATGTTGATGTAGAAGAGACATGAGGAAGAGGGGACACATGTTGATGTAGAAGAGACATGAAGAAGAGGGGACACATGTTGATGTAGAAGAGACATGAAGAAGAGGGGACACATGTTGATGTAGAAGAGACATGAAGAAGAGGGGACACATGTTGATGTAGAAGAGACATGAGGAAGAGGGGACACATGTTGATGTAGAAGAGACATGAAGAAGAGGGGACACATGTTGATGTAGAAGAGACATGAAGAAGAGGGGACACATGTTGATGTAGAAGAGACATGAAGAAGAGGGGACACATGTTGATGTAGAAGAGACATGAAGAAGAGGGGACACATGTTGATGTCGAAGAGACATGAAGAAGAGGGGACACATGTTGATGTAGAACAGACATGAAGAAGAGGGGACACATGGTGATGTAGAAGAGACATGAAGAAGAGGGGACACATGTTGATGTAGAAGAGCCATGAAGAAGAGGGGACACATGTTGATGTAGAAAAGACATGAACAAGTGGAATTTGCATAATAGGTGACCTTTAAGAGTCTTTGTGGAAACGTCTGGCACCGTTTACAAGAACTACCTGGGATGAGACACCTGTGTGTTTATGACCCAACACTTGTCATGTACTACTTATATATTTTCCAAAGTGCCAGAGTTTTCTGACTCACAGTCATGTCCTTTCATGTTCCTCAGATCGATTTTGTGGCTCACGATGACATCCCGTACTCCTCAGCAGGGAGTGAGGATGTCTACAAACACATCAAGGAGGCAGGTCAGTGTTACAGGAAGATGTTCTGTCTTCTTACAGTAACATGTACCTCGAGCAGTGTGCAGACTCTGTGTTTCTATGTGTGTGTTTCAGGGATGTTTGTTCCTACTCAGCGGACAGAAGGAATCTCCACATCGGACCTGATCACCAGGATCGTCAGAGACTACGACGTCTACGCGCGACGCAACCTCCAACGAGGATACACGGCCAAGGAGCTCAACGTCAGCTACATCAACGTAAGAGCACCAGCAAATCAGGGTGTGAGTTTTGTACTAGCCGGAAATTGACTCAAATGCTTGACAATTGACAAAAAAGCTGGATGTAACAGTCTTTACTTCAATAGGGGTCAAATGTTTAAAAAAGCTGACAAAACAAATTAACAAAACAAACACTTGACTAGGAAAGTAGAAGGACTAGGACCAAAGCTTGGTGAAAACACTGGGTAAATGTACTTCCTGTGACAAGACAAAGTGGTACTGACAAAGGGAACAACACCAAATACACAAGTGAGCAATAATAAAGTTAAGGAGGTTTCTTTTAAAATGTTACACACAATATATCCAGCAAAAAACACACTGCAACGATTTGGACTTGATGTTGAATATTCCTGTACATTTTGTAATCTACAAGAAGAGACTATTGGCCATTTATTTTATGAATGCTTGTATTGTAGAATATTGTGGTATGATGTAGAATGTTTTATTAGAAGAAAGACGGGACAAAAGGTTCAACTCCAGGACAAAGACATTCTTACGTACTTCAGGGATGATAGTATGGATGCAGATTTGGTCTTTTTGGCGCAGTTAATTATATTTTTAGGGAAATTTCATATCCATACAAAGAAATGGGCTGACTCCAAACCACATTTTGTACATTTCTATCAAGAATTTAAACAATATATTGGCTAATGTAAAATATAAAACTAATTTGATATTTAAAAAATATTTAATCTGAAGTATCAAAATGTATTTTTCTTTCCTTTTTTCTTTATTTACTATATGTAATGTCTTGTTGCGTGAGGAAGGGTTATTAAGAACAGGTGAACCAATCAGGGCGGGGCAGGGAATCACAGAGGCGAGAAACACACTGGGGCAGGAAGTGAAGCAATTTGATTCTGCATGTCATCGTCTCTGTATGCATTATACTATATTTAGAAGTATCCATAAAAGATTATTTTAGCATAATTGGTATGTCATCAAAGGTCCTAAATATTCAGGAAACATTCTGTAAAGAAGTGTCGGATAATTATGAATATCTGGAAGTAATGTTGGTTTAAAAACATAATGAATATAACAATTTATGGCAAGCAACATTTTAAGGTGAGACACATGGGTTAGAATACGTTTTAGATTACTTTACGACATCTCAGGTTACAAAGCCTAAGATTCTGATTTTTCAGGGATCTCAAAGCTTTTTTAACAATTTATTTTCCTCACCTCTGCCTCCCCTCAGGAGAAGAAGTTGCATCCTTTGCTTACATAAAGGCAAACACATTTTACAGTCCACAGTCAAAAAGAGCAGACAGAACAAAGTAACACAACTAGCAGGACTAGGACACATTGGTTGGAATACGTTTTAGGCACTAAGCTTAATAACGATTCAGATGTAACTATTTCTTTTCCTCACCTCTGCCTCCCCTCAGGAGAAGAAGTACCGGCTGCAGAACCAGGTGGACCGGATGAAGGAGAAGGTGCGCACGGTGGAGGAGAAGAGCAAACACTTTGTCTACCGGGTGGAGGAGAAGAGCGCCGACCTCATCCAGAAGTGGGAGGAGAAATCCAGAGAGTTCATCGGAAACTTCCTGGAACTGTTTGGACCCGACGGGACCTGGGTAAGTTACTCTTCTTTAATAAAGGACTTGTTACAGAGTATTCCTACACTTTGGTTCTTCTACTTTTACTCAAGTACAAGATGTGAGTACTTCTCCCACCTCTGGTAATAACATCTGTTCAATGTAAAGTGCAATTTAAAGGTAATAGTTCTTTAAAAACAAGCATTTTTCATCAGGTCTAAAACCACCAGACTCAGGGACAGTTTCATTCCACAGGCCATGAGACTGTTTAGACACCTGAACTTTTTAAAGAACATCCATAACATTCATCTGTTTGCAACTTTAAAAAAAACTATTTATCTATATATCATATTCCAATTCCTTGTATATAGACCAGGGGTGTCCAAACTTTTTTCACAGAGGGCCACATACAGAAAAATATACGAAGGGCTGGGCCACTCACTAAAGGAGAGGTTTATTGCCTCATAAATTAAGTTATGAGTCAGCAAAATCAATCAAATGTAGGTAAATTATGCCTGATATTTTAAATCCCTCACAGATATCCATAGCCATAGGGTTTACTTTATTTTGTTACTAAAAGTGTACAGCTCATCCCTTAACCCTTGTGTTGTGTTCGAAAGCTGTTACCGTTCATGGTGATTTATTTCAGTCCAAAACACTCAAAAATAATGACTTTCATCCAATATTGTTTTAACTACATCATAACTAACTTATAATGCATTCATAACCGTACAATCCTGTTGTTATTTTATGTTATGGCCCAAAACACATGACACCACATATTGCACACGTGCATGTGTGTGTTCAGGTTCAAGTGTTAGTGCACATATTCTTTGAGAAAGGTCGAGTTCCCGTGGGGGGAGGGGGGCCAGAGGGAGGGGAGACCAGGTGCATGTTGCGAAACATTATTGTTACAGTTAATGAAGGGGGTGGGGGAGGGGCGTCTAAAGTCAAAGATGAATCTTGATTGGTCCAAATTTGACCCCGAGTCACCCAAAACAATTCTGCTGGGTCTCCCCAGACCCCAACACCAAATTATACACTTTTTTATTTTAGAGACCTTCAGACTTGGCTAAAATGGTCAAAATCAGTTTTGTAGTGTTTATATATCTGTTGTGGAGGATATCATGTTCAGATAAAAAAAACTAGAGCGTAGTTATTTTTCATTTTAACTTGAAACGGTTCACGGGAGACCCGAACACAACACAAGGGTTAAAACAGAAGCCTCATTTTGCTTATAATAGGGGAAATAGGAAGGGTGTATTTCAAACTTGTTATGTTAAAAAGTTATTTGGCTTTTCTTATCAACTAAGATTTGTTAGAAAATGTTTTCAACTTTAACTGACTGAATTTATTTGAAAAGTGGCCTTATTAACACGTGAATACTACTGTGCGATATATTTGTACATATATGTTTAAGAAATACAATATAAGACAAGCTCAAGTTTCATTTGTGAGCCGTATTACATTATACTTTTTGAATTTGCTGAGGGCCGATTCAAAATGGTCTGCGGGCCGTAGTTTGGACACCCCTGATATAGACTATTCTTGCACTATTTCTATTCTATTTTATTTGTATTTACCTGTACTATGTTATCTGTTTTATTGTGTTGCACTGTTGGAGGACCTAAGATTTACATTGCCATAACTACACTCGTGTACAAATGACAATAAAAGCCTTGAGCCTTGCATTGAGCCAGCATTGACTGTGTTCCTCCCCCTGTATAGAAACAGGTGTTTCAGGAGCGCAGTGGAAGGATGCTGTCCTACGCTCTGTCCCCCCGAGGGTCTCCCTGCAACAGCCCCCCCCGCGAACTCTCCCCCCTGCGCTCCCCCTCCCCCCCCTGCCCCCCCGCCCGCTGGCACAACGCACGGCCATCGCCCCCAAACTCCCCCAAAGGAGCGTCGGCCTCCATCAGCAGCATGAGTGAAGGGGACGAAGACGAGAAGTAGATGGACTGTGATGGACACACACACACAGACACACACACACACACACACACACAGACACACACACACACACACACACACACACACACACACACACACGTAAACACACACACACTTCCCTCATAGTACACTGCCTGGGAACTGCTCACACACACACAGACACACAAACACAGACACACACACACACACACACACACACACACACACACACACACACACACACACACACACACACACACACACACACACACTTTGGCTGGATACTGAAACACTTTATCCTCAAGGAAGTTGCTAGAATGCAAAGAAGAAGGGGATCATGGGAAATGAAGTTCTGTGCTGCAGAGCTAAGAAGCCATCATCGCACAGGAAGAAGAGGATTTGCAAGAAGGTCCAGAATGCTTTGCGGCATCTTTCAGGAGGATTAGCTTTTTGTGGAGAGACTGTCCGACAGCCTCCATGGCACCACCTCACTGTCCTGTTCTGTTCATTTACAGTTATGTCACCACTAGATGTGAAAAGACACAAAAACACTGTGTGTGACGTTCAGCTCCACATCGACAGGATTCATCGCGGGCTCATTCAGTACTTGCTGAACTGAGAGTTAGGAATTAAAGACTGCACGTCGTAGATTAGCAGAGGTGAAGTGTTGGCACTATAACACATAATCAGAGCTAGTTTGCACCCTTTAAGCATAAACGGCTGGCGAGGAGAATAAAACCAGTGACCCATGAGTCTTTGTTCCCACGCCACTAAAACAGATAAAGACTAATCATTCAGAAAATCATAGGAAATTAAAATTAGCCTGTGGGATTAGCAGTGTGTATCCAAAAAGCTCTGAGTTTGGGAGGTGGTTTTTATCACCTCTGTTGTACAGCTTTGTTCTAAGTAGTGAAGATCAAGAGTTTTGAAATTAAAATGAAAGAGGTCTGTCTTAAATTAAACACTAAAACAAGCCTCTTTTGATCCTTAAAACTTTATTAGCTTCTTGAATGTAAACTGAGTCTCTGAGACTAAAGTAGAGAGTAATTGTAATCACTCTAATTTCCCTAAATCATCACATTAGGACACACAAATATCACAGGTATTAGAGGAAACATTTGTGGATTTTCAGCCTAACTAGCCATGTATCATTTGAAGGTTTGCCATGTTTTATCTCTCAATGTTTAGCAGACATCGTTGCTCTTTGGATTTTGATGTCAGCTGTTCATCAAACCCGGCAAACTTGGAGATGCAGCCTTTCTCTCGGACTCTGAAGATACTTGAAATAAACAATAAGCCCTCCAGGTGAACTGTCAGCAGCCGGATCATCATGTTTTTAGTCGCTAGGTGTACGTAAGAACTCTTTTTTTTTTCTCCAATCATACAATAAATACTCTAATGCAATGTAGAGACCTTGACGTCCTGTACGCACTACATGTTAATCTGCACTATATGTACAAACTTTGGGAATGTGTGTCTTTTTTTATCTTTTAAATCTCAATGTTCAAACGGCTTGATCTGTAAATAAAAAAATCTATAACCAAACGTGAATTGAAAGTGCATTTCGCCTTTTTATCCAAACAAACGATGCAGGAAAATGGCACACAACAACAAAATGTTATTTATTGTCTCACGCTGATATCACCATTTTGCATATTTTTTTCATGACCGCCTACACAGCAAGGGGTTCATGCACAAAGCTGGAGGTACAGGAGGATAGAAAACAGAGATCACTCCACACTGTACTGCAAACACATCGTTATATACACACTATTTACTAAAATACACAAAGTAGTCTTTAACAGTAAAGGTCCACGACTACTGAAGACGCCTCTTAACATCACACAATTTAAACTTAGCTGTTAAATGTGATTACAGGTGGTGAGCGGAGGCATTTTAAATAAAAAAAAGGACAGTTTTTCTGAGCGTCTAACACTCGTTACTGCAGGTTTGTCCCTCAGGGAGACTGGCAGGTTTGAAGGCATCGGCAGTGATGAACTCTTCAGCTACTCTCCTTTCTTTTGGGATCAGAGGGAGCTGAAGGAGACGAGAGAAGGAAGTCACTTCAGATCATTTAAATTCTTAACACGTGGTGCGACCCATGCTTGATTTTTCAGTAGTTTACAAAAAAGGATATTGCTACTATGAAGGTTTTCAGATACAAGTGGTGACCTTGGATCTCTGCAGATCATAATTAATCTTCTGTGTGTCCAGAAAATTAGGAATGATGTGATTGTGTGAAGTTATTTGAAGGAAAGCGCACAAATAAGTTCCCTTAATGTGATTCGTGTGACAAAAATCAAGTGTTTAGCGCTATCATTTGGCACAAAGATAATTTAGATAAGATAATTCTTAGTCTTACATTTAACATTTAGAAGAAGAAAATCGGATTATTCAGAATTAAGTTTTGATATTTACCCCAACTCTCTTTCTAAAGACTTGATTTCCTTTTGTTTAAATAAAGAAACATTACATCAAACTTTACAGTAAGATACAATTTTAACAGTTAATGCTGTTTCAATTTCAACGATAAAAATCAAACCCTGTGTTCCTCGCTTAAAATGAACTTAACAAATGGTGATAAAAACTAAAATACCCAAATTGTGTTCATAACTCATTCATAACATAATGCTAAAAATAGAAGGTATGAGCGTGATGGGTCTAAAATGTGTAAAAAGCAGATGTAATGATGTGTTCCTACTTTTTCTGTTCTGATTGGTACATTGACATCATGGCTGATTTGGTCCTTTTAGTTATCGTTAGAGCTGGCTTGCAAGCAGAAATGTCCCTCAGTATTGTCGATCAATAGTATGCGTAAGTTACAGGGGTTAGAATACAAATAATCAGAAACTATTTTGATCAGATTTCCTGCATTTCTCTGTTTTATATCATATTCAAGTAGGTTTTTGTGTTTTGGACTGACAAAACTAAACATGTAAAGACATCAGCTTTGACTTTAGGGTACGAGAGGACATTTTGTACTAATTTCTGCTGCTTTACATACCAAACAATTATCTAGAGAATAATTCATTAATCAATACCTAAAATATGTATTGGTTGCAGCCCTAGCTTAGGTGGGCGTACAGTTGACTTAAAGGTGGGGTAGGTCATTTTGGAGAAACCAGCTCGAGTGCGCTAGAATTTGAAAATACACAGCCGGAGAAAATCTGCCACTTCCTTACAGAGCCCCTCCTCCAACACACACGAACGCGCACATGACCAATGAGGGCACGAGATAAGTTTGTGCACAGATGGAAGGCTGACAGGCAGGTAGGCCATCCAGTTATTTTAGCCGGGCCGGCTCAGATGATTGGTCGTGCTTTTTACAGTACCACAGCTTCCACAGATGACATTTTGTAATGGATTTTTTGTCAAAGCACTTAAGATATTCATTGCTATCGGGATGTTAAGAGCATTCCATGGAATATAACAACAAGTGTATCTCGAGCCGGTTTCTCAAACTTACCTACCCCACCTTTAAAGGAGTGCAGTTGTAAAATAGAAACAAAATATTCTCCCATTGTTAATGATCTTTTATCTCCACAGCCTTCAAGGCAGCTTTTTAAAAACATAAAAAAAACTAGAATAAGGCCTTCTCTCATAAAATAAAACTTCTAGATCTTTAAATATAAATCGTGCTCTTGATGCATGGCTTTCTATAATTTTCCCAAAACAGTTTCTCTATGTTCCCAGGCTTAAATACAAAACTAGTCTTTACTCTGCCAACGACACACTGGCCTGATTGTGCGCTCGGTTCAAAAGTGTCTCCCAAAAGGAAGGAAATGAAACCTCCTATTCCTCCCATCTGCACTGAAACTCAAACCTCTCTGTCTCTGCTGGTGTTTGAGCGGCAGAGACAGAAAGCCTTCCCTCAGCTGACGGTGAGAAAGCAGCGCGGGGTTTATTCAGCCACAGGAAGCAGCGGCCAAAAAAACAGAAACCGATGATGCAGTGATTTCAGCTCATGGCCAGATAAAAGGGGAAACAAAGCCAAAACTAGTCAAGATTCAGGGATCTATGATTTGGAGGTTCATTTTACACTTATGGGATCCGGAGGTAAAGATGCCACAACAATAAAAGCTACGCGGATGAATCTCATTGTCTTTGGGTGCAGAGATAAGTCATCAATATGGTCCAAACATTAGGAATGTTAAAGCAGGTCTGATCAGAGCGGTCACCCAAGGGCAACGCTTCATCGTGCATGCTCCCAGCAGGGGGTCAGAGTTATCTCTTGGCTTTGTAATTGGACTTGCTGGCGTCTCTTGGCTCTCGGCTGGGGTTGCTCCAGTCGTCCGCCTCGGGGCTCGTCTTGTAGTGTCGCAGCGCAGACTTGTTGAAGACGGGAAGACGCTCGAAGGACTCGCTGGAGAGAGCCTGGAGAAAAAGGACACAGGATGACAAAAACTCATGGTTAATTCTCTTTAAAAGACGACATATAATGCTGATGTTCAGGTGTATATCAGTATGTAGTGTCTCTACTTTAAAGAGTCCTCTCCTGCTGATGTTCAGGTGTATATCAGTATGTAGTGTCTCTACTTTAAAGAGTTCTCTCCTGCTGATGTTCAGATGTATATCAGTATGTAGTGTCTCTACTTTAAAGAGTCCTCTCCTGCTTATGTTCAGGTGTATATCAGTATGTAGTGTCTCTACTTTAAAGAGTCCTCTCCTGCTCATGTTCAGGTGTATATCAGTATGTAGTGTCTCTACTTTAAAGAGTCCTCTCCTGCTGATGTTCAGGTGTATATCAGTATGTAGTGTCTCTACTTTAAAGAGTCCTCTCCTGCTGATGTTCAGGTGTATATATAGGCCAGTCTGCTCTGATTGGTTAGCTGGCCGGCTCTGTTGTGATTGGTCAACTGCTCAGAGATCAGTTTCATTAGTCGCCTGCCCTTATACCCCCCCTACTCTGCCTTTGTAAATAAAATAAAATAGCATGTGTGTATGTGTGAAACCGTGTTCTGTACTTTCCCTTAAGCGACATCACAAACTTTAAGCATGCAGGTTATTCAAAACGAAGACAATACAAAAATAATAAAAAACGAAATGTAGAAAATACCACATTTACGATTTAACGTGTATCTGCGTGTCCGCCATCTTGGAACAGTCAAAATATGTTAGTAAAGAAATGCAACAGGAGCCTTTGACCTAGCCATAACCTCCTGTGAGACATGCAGGATCGATGTGCAAATACAACATGAAATGTGAATTATTTGGCATTTCCACATCTGTTATATCTAGCTATATATATCATTATAAAGCCAAGTCAACTTTAAGAAGTAATCCCTAGAGTTGGAGGAAAATAGATTTGTATTAGATTTTGACTTTGCTTGCCGTCTTCATGCTAAGCCTAGCTAAGCTAATTCTGGCTCTTGCTCCATCCTTGTAGTACAAATGACAGTGAAATCATCTTACACTAGTTAAGCGAAAAGATGAAGTAGCATATTTCTTCAAATATCACACAATCTTTGACCTTCCTGAGTCATGCTCCACATCACCCTAGCTCTCCTTACCTTCAGATAGATGACGGCGTCGGTGCCAACGCCATCCATGGAGTACAGTTTCAGATCCCCCTGGAAGTATCGGGCGTAGAGCCTGGAAATCGGCAAACCGTAGCCAAATCCAGCCTGTTGGGAGGGGGAGGGAGGGGGAGGGAGGGGAGGGTGTCAGAATGTGATTTCCCAGAAGTCATGAGAAATGTATGGGTGAAAATAGCTTTTGAAAAGGTCACATGGGGTCAATACTGGTGTGTTTTATGTAAAATTATGTAAAAGTAAGATGTCCAAAGTGATGTCTTTAAACATGTTTTTTTAGTTCAAACCCAAAGATATTCACATAATTATTATAAAACAAAGACAGGATCAATATTTGTCAGACTGAAAACTGCATTTCGTGACATTTCTGCATGAAAAACGACCGATTATCCAAACATTTTGAGTTGATTCTCCGGCATTGAGTCGACCAATGGCTGCAGGTTTAAGGTCAAGCACTAATGGAGAGACTAGACATGAAGTGTGTGTGTGTGTGTGTGTGTGTGTGAGTGAGTGAGTGAGTGAGTGAGTGAGTGAGTGTGTGTGTGAGAGACTGTGTGTGTGTGTGTGTGTGTGTGTGTGTGTGTGTGTGTGTGTGTGTGTGTGTGTGTGTGTGTGTGTGTGTGTGTGTGTGTGTGTGTGTGTGTGTGTGTGTGTGTGTGTGTGTACTGTACCAGTGGCACAGTCCCTGACTCCAGGCTGGGTGTAGGAGCCGTGGAGTACATGTAGTTAAACAGGCGGTCGATCTTCCTCAGGGGAACTCCCCCTCCTCTGTCGCTGATCTGAGGGAGGGACGAGGCACAGACGCAGCGTGAGGAAGGACACACACTTATATGTGTAAAGGTGTGTGTGTGTACTCGTGTGTGATTTACCTTCACAGAGAGATCCTCTTTACCCAGAGTGACCTTGGCCTTCACTGGAGGTAACCCCTCCGCGTTGTCCTCGTGAAGCTCCACCGTGGCTCTCATCGAGTTCTGCAAAAGTCCTTATGGAGTTATAGTCACACTGCAATTCAATTACAATGAAAGAGTATCTACTGAGCCCCCCCCCCTGATGCTCCACACTCTCACCTTGAAGAGCTCGAACAGCATGTGGAACAGATGAGAGGGAACGTACACCGCCTGGATGGGCTTATCAGGGGCCTTCACTGGGAGAAAACAACAAAAAGAGGCGTGAGAAAAATATGTATTTGCATTTATTAATTTACATAACCACTACTAGTGCCAGATTTAGCCATGAAGCAAAAGCTGGTTTTCTGATGATAATAACAGGAGGATGTCATGTTTAATGCACCACATAGGGTTGTATGTAATGTCATCTCCGTACATGCACAGCTTCTATTGATTCAGAATGCTTCAATGTTGATTTTAAATGTCAAAGTTATGGAAGAAGCTTGAAATCTTTGGTACAGCCCTACAAATACTAACTTGATTACCTGTGTTTATTTCGATATTTCACAATCTATTTATTCAATCAACCAATATTGCTATTTAGTTTGTTTTTCGTCTTTGTGTTAAACGATTGTCTTCCACCATTTTTATAATCTTTTGGCAACACATGTCAATTTTCATGTCAATTAAGCCTATTTAATTAAATTAAATGTTTAGAGTATATTATGTTGTGTACATTTCTGGTCAAAAGAAGTCCTCAATGAACCTTGGTTGAACAACATTTTGTGGTTTGGTTAAATGCAGTATTTTGTATTTTCACATTTATTTAAAAGTGAACATCTCGGGACATAAAACACATTTCGTGAAATATTAGAAAACATTTTTTATATTTGAACTTACTGTTAAACTCTTCAATCTTCAGCTTGGGAGCAGCTAGGTAATATTTCTCACAGAGCATCCGGGCTGTGTCGTAGGCATCTGAGGAAACAAAACACCAGTCAGGACGGAAGAAGGAGAGTTCATGTTTACATTCAGATTCATTTCTGCAGCTCTGGATCCTCGCTGCTAAACCTTTATTATTATATGAACATGCCGTTTACAGTAAATGAACTTGTTAGATTTGTGCCACTGAGAGCTGCTGCTGTGATATAACTCAAGATACAAACATTTCACTCATAGATCACAAATGCTCTGGCTGTGTGGTTTGTAACGATTGTATTATCAGAGGATTTTAAACTCACCAGTGACGACTTCAGCCACGCTGCAGGTGGGGTCGATGCTGCCGATGTGTTTGGGGTGTGCAGGGTTTGTGTCGTTACCGAACAGAAGAGCTGCACAGAAAGAAGAAATATAAGTTATTAAAAATAATTAGATAAAAGCCGTTTGAAGAGAAGGGTCAGTCACAGAGATCTACGAGCTTCTAGGATAGACGAGTGCTTTCGCTGATACTGACTGGAATATGTTGAATGTAGTTTACCAAAATGAAGCATACATGTTAAGTTATCTTCAGTACAGTAGGCTGTGGCAAGGCACTATGAAGTATTGGATTTCTTTATTTAATTAAAAGTTAAATTGTATGTTTTATTGATATCTGATTCGTGGTGTTTCTGGGACTCACTGTGCTGGTTGATGAGCATGCGGAAGGAGATGCGGTTGGTGTAGAATCGGTCCAGGAAGTACTGGATGTTGCTGCTGATGAACGGGTCGAAGCCGAACTTCTCCTTGTACTCGATGACCCCCGCCGCCATGGTGGGAACCACGTCGTTGTGCCGGTTACGGATCTCAATCAACAGGTCCAGGAAACTGAGGAATAGATTACAAAAATGCAATGAGAAAGGAAAATAAATAGTTAAACACACTCATCAATGAGCAACCTGTTGTGTCATTCTCAGAGGTGGGAAGTAGTGAAATACTTTGTTACTGTACTTAAGTACATTTTTCTGGTATCAGTACTTTACTCCACTTCTTATTTTTCTGACGACTTTTTACTTTGATTTCTTACATTTTGAACACAAATACCTGTACTTTCTACTTCTTACATTTTGAACACAAATACCTGTACTTTCTACTTCTTACATTTTGAACACAAATACCTGTACTTTCTACTTCTTACATTTTGAACCCAAATACCTGTACTTTCTACTTCTTACATTTTGAACACAAATACCTGTACTTTCTACTTCTTACATTTTGAACCCAAATACCTGTACTTTCTACTTCTTACATGTTGAACTCAAATACCTGTACTTTCTACTTCTTACATGTTGAACACAAATACCTGTACTTTCTACTTCTTACATGTTGAACACTAATACCTGTACTTTCTACTTCTTACATGTTGAACCCAAATACCTGTACTTTCTACTTCTTACATTTTGAACACAAATACCTGTACTTTCTACTTCTTACATTTTGAACACAAATACCTGTACTTTCTACTTCTTACATGTTGAACTCAAATACCTGTACTTTCTACTTCTTACATGTTGAACTCAAATACCTGTACTTTCTACTTCTTACATGTTGAACTCAAATACCTGTACTTTCTACTTCTTACATGTTGAACACAAATACCTGTACTTTCTACTTCTTACATGTTGAACTCAAATACCTGTACTTTCTACTTCTTACATTTTGAACACAAATACCTGTACTTTCTACTTCTTACATGTTGAACACAAATACCTGTACTTTCTACTTCTTACATGTTGAACACAAATACCTGTACTTTCTACTTCTTACATTTCCCAAACAGGCTGGTTCCTTTAGTTTAAATGTGTGTTTGGTGGCATGATCATTATTATTTAGAGTCATTGCGTGCCTATTGATTTGAACACGATCCGTGTATCCATCATTTCCTGGTCTTCTCTAAAGAAGAGGGACCAATGAAAACGTTGTCATGTTGCCGTTGTTCAGCATGGAAACATTCATTAGCTAACAATGACATTATTGTTCTATTAATATAAAGGGAGGTCAGGTACTCTTTAAAACAGCTGCTAGTTATGGGTACTTTTTACTTAAAGGGGACCTATCATGCAAAATGCACTTTTGTACGTCTTTTATACATGAATATGTGTCCCCGGTGTTCCAGGGAACTCACCAAGTGTCAGAAAACACAACCCTCTCTATTTTCCTCCATACCCAAATCTCTAAAAACGGGGCTGCAACGGATCTGATACAGACTGATACAGATTTGAAATATCTCTGACGTCAGAAACAAGGAGCTCCGCCTATATGGGCAACTCTCCACCTATCAGGGGAATGAGAGGTTGTCGTGGCATGGTAACAGCATGGTAACAGCATGGTAACAGCATGGTAACAGGCAGGGGGGCGAGGCTAAAATGCATGATCTGTTTGGTATTTTGAAAGAAAAACTTCACAGACATGTTTTATATAGGTATGGCCCTACAATATATTATTCAAATATAGCATGATAGGTCCACTTTAAGTACATTTCAAAGCCCATACTTCTTTACTTTTACTTGAGTAAAGAAGTTTAGTCAGTACTTCTACTTTTACCAGAGTATTTTTAAACACGAGTATCTGTACTTCTACTTGAGTAAAGGATGTGTGTACTTTTGCCATCTCTGGTCATTCTGAGATCTTCAGTGAGGTTGGACATTGGAAAACATCATGCACAAGTTTCTATCATAAAAAAAAATTGGGTTTAATTTAATATCAAGAAATAAATTGCACTCAAAATGCTCAGTCAGAGTTTTTTAGCAAGTCCATTTCTATCTGTTTTCTGGATCTAAAACTTCTTCACAAAGTATTAAGATGACTCATGATAGCTTGTTATCACTGTTCTTTTCATTTCCAGTGATCCACAGTCTCCATAGAAGCGTGACGGTCTTATCCAAATCCCTGTATGTTGTAATCTGTTGATCTGCGGGGGCATGGTGACATTAAAAACACTCAGCGTACCTGTGCAGGCGGCACGTCTACACGCAGTCATAAAGCCAGCTTGCAAAATCTGCAGTTTACATATTGAACATGCATTTTGTGAATCATTCATAAAAGACAGTGTTCTCTCACTCATTCAGAGCCTGAGGGTCCTCCGGCTTTCTGTTCTCATACTCCAGCAGCTCCACGAAGCTTTGCATGTACCTGTTAAAACAGTCAGAGGGCAAAGGGCAGTTATTAACAACGCTCTAAAACAGGGTGTCCAAACTACGGCAGATTAAAAAAGTATAATGGAATACGGCCCACAAATGAAACTTGAGCTTGTCTTGTATCGTACTGTCAATGTGCATATTTACAATCTAAATATATATTAGTAAAATAGCCATAAGTATGTCTAAATAGTGGTGCAAGTCTAAGTCGATAAGAAAAAAGCCCAATAACTTATATACATAACAAACAGTCTATTTCCTCTTCAGATAATCAATCTGGGGCTCCTGGTGTAAGGGATGAGCTGCTAACACATTAAATGAAACTCTCTAGAGAGTTGGGATGGAGGCTGTTTATTTTTCTTAAAGCAGATTCAAGTATCAAGAATAATTTATTTACATTTGATTGATTTTGCTAATTTATAACTGAACTTATGAGGCAGTATACCTCTAGCGAGCGGCCCAGGCCTTCGTATATTTTTCTGTATGTGGCCCTCAGACACCTCTGATATAAATCTTATTGACAGGAAGCGATATGAAGTGTCTGGAGGAAGTACCATTTCTGCACCAGTCTGACGGAGGGCATGCCCAGCAGGGGGTCCGGCAGCAGGTTGGTCTCCCTCATGGTGTTGGCCAGACGCACCGGCAGCTCCTTACGCAGAAACATGTACGACGTTTTCTCACAAGCATTGTCCCGGCCTGAAACACATGAATAACACATTCTCAAAGCAGCTGAGAGAGGAATATCTGGAAGAGTTTAACATGTCATTATTATCTTTTTCTGCCAGGACCTTATATATACAGTCTATGGCCAGGACACAGGTTCAGAATTCTGCTTTTTGTATTGCCTTTAGTCATCATTGCTCATACTGTGGATTGCAAAAGACACCTTTGAGTTAAATGGACACTATGTACTTTTCTGTCACAATGGGTTTCTCAATCAAAACAATCTTTATCAGAGCTGCATTATCTGCAGAGTAAAAGCGGTTAAAAAAGGGGTTTTTCTCCAAGCATCCTGTTTAAAAACACTAAGATTTATAGGTTTTTGAAGGAAAATGTGGCTTAAAACGGGATAAAAAGTGAATGTATGACAGCTTCTTGCAGACAACGCTGCATGCTCAAAGGGCAACACATTTACCCAACAACTCCGCTTTTAAGACACTTCAAAATGAAATTGTCACACATGACCTCTTTGGTGTCACGAACCCTTTCCAACATGATGAAATAATGACAAAATGTATTTGTTTTAAACCCTTAAACCCTCCTGAAACGTGTGCATTTTTACATAGCAGAAAAGACTTGTGTTAGGTTTTTGCTCTTCTCAAACTAAAAGCCTAGTGATTACACCCAGATAAGGAAACCCTGAATAAAGCAGTTTCAGGTAAATAATCTCACATGACCTCTTTGGTGTCACAAACCCTTTCCAACATGATGAAATAATGACAAAATGTATTTGTTTTAACCCTTAAACCCTCCTGAAACGTCTTTATTTTCACATTGCGAAAGATCTTTGTCTTATAAAAAGGGATTTCTCATGTGCCGCTCTGCACCACAGTGACTGTCAGAGGAGGTAAACAGCGGCGAACGCCAAATGCCAAAATGGGAGCCGCAGTCAGTTTCAATTTTCAACCTTTCATATGACACCTTAAACTCTGCGGACACGCTGTCCAACATTAACCCGAAGCATACGAGTAAATCATACAGAGAGGGGGAGTCTTAAAGGTTAGAAGGGTTTCACTGTTAGATCTACAGAGGAAAAACTGAATTACTGCCGTGTAATGGTAAAAATCTGTCTCAGGAATCACCGTGACTTTGCATTTTTTAACAACCGAAATGCAATGTACTCCAACGCCACATAAAAGCACACATATGCTTCCACTTTACTCCAAAAAAAAGGTCTTCACACGATGCAAAGACATGTTGTTCTTACAGGAAGCCTGATACTGGGATTCTGCACTGAGCGTGACCTTAACCCGTCAACACAGAGAGATGTTTCAGTGAAACGAGATGATCTCGCAGAATAAAAGGACATAGCCTCTCTGGAGCAACTTCCTCTGATTCAGCAACACGGAGGCAGGGCTCCTAAATTCTTATAATAGGGAAATGAAAGCAGCACCACACACACACACACACACACACACACACACACACACACACACACACACACACACACACACACACACACACACACACACACACACACACACACACACACACACACAAAGATGATGTCTCATGTGTAGGGTCGCAAAGGGGCGGAACATTTCCAGTACATTTCTGGTCAATTTCAATGAGAAGTTAAGGTGGGGAATTTTGGAAATATTGGAAACCTTCCATGGGAATTTATGGGATCTAACTGGGAATTGAGGGTAATGTAATCGAATTATGTCATATCCAAGCATATATTATATTACATGTCACTTGTTAGACGCTTTTATCCAAAGCGACTTACATACTCAATACTATGGACAATCCCCACAGGAGCAATTTGGGGTGAAGTGTCTCAGGGACACAACGACATGCTGACTGCAGTGGGGTTTGAACCTGTGACCCCCTGATCCGAACACCTACGGACAACCCACTGCGCCACACGCATAAATATAAACATTTTGTCATAAGAAAACATCCATGCAAAATGATACAATTAAAAAATATGACATTTCAACAGATTTATTTGTAAGTAGAACAGAACAAGTTTTAATTATTTTATTGAACAATAATTTGTTTATTTGAAGATCAAAAACATGAATGTTGAGTTAAATATTACTCATCCCCCCAACACCACTCATTCAAAAATGAACAAAAATGCACCCCCCATCCAAAAACCCCCACAAGAAATCATGTGTGCATGTGATGGAGGAATGCACAGTGCCTGTAGGGGGTGTGGTCTCAATAGCAGACCAGCAGCAGTGTGCTATGTGCATGAGGAATGGCATGGATATTCAAGTGTACAGTACTTGAATGGCATTTGTTTGTTTTAGTAAAGATTATGCTAAAATGTACTTTCCCCAACTATATGTAAGTTCCCTATGAAGAGCCAACCTTCAATTTAGAAAATTCCCAGGTATTCCCATGGAAAGCTTCCATCTTTGAAAATTCCCGGAATTTTGCAACCCTACTCATGTGTTCCCGTCTGAAACACACCTTTATGAGTGGACCCACTGCACACACACACACACACACACACACACACACACACACACACACACACACACACACACACACACACACACACACACACACACACACACACACACACACACACACACACACACACACACACACCACACACACACACACAACACACACACACACACACACACACACACACACACACACACACACACACACACACACACACACACACACACACACACACTAGGAAAAGCCTAGAGTGTTGCTTACAGCGCTGTCATCTCACATTTCAAGTCTCATCGTAGTTATTATTGACTCATGCAGAGAGAGGAAAAACACTGAGTGCAGGTACTCAGAAAGAGCCTTCTAGGAACTTTAATTTGTGTAATACAAAACTATAATTAATCAAGCTCTGAAAACAGCACCTAAAGATCGACACCAACCTGAAAGTAAAGAGTAAACATTAGCAGAAGCAAAACCACAGTAAAAAGTGCTGCACTCAAAAGCTTACTGAAGTCAAAGTACACACTAAATATTAAAGAAATATAATTTTTTTGTATACTACTAAAGTAACTTCACTCCTTATGCAAAAGGGCGCATATCAGAATAATACCTTATATATTATTGGATTAAATTGTGTGTTTATCACTATTGTATTACAGCTGGTACATACTGCTGGGTATCTAAGCTGTAATGATACACCTTAATGTATTAATTGAGTCATATATTGTATCACTTGAATACCTGAATCTGTAAATGAAATTAAGTAAAATAAAAGGTACAAATACCTAAAATTTGTACTTTTCCGAGTTACTTCCCGTTATATTCCACTACTGGCACACATGAGTAACTTATTTGCACCATTGTGTCACTTGCACTAAGTGTGTTGTAAGATGCATTGCTTCATTGCTTTCACTTTGACACTACATCTTGTAAATCTTGCAGTTTAAAAAACCCATGTAAGTAATCCTTCACTGCAGACAAATATCTCTATTAATTAAGCAGAGAGTCACGTGCCCACATAGTAAACACACCAGCAGAGCCTTCATCATGCACAGTGCTGTTTGTGCATATAGAGAAAGGAAATATCATTCAGATCAGATGACATCATAACAAAGGGTAATGTTACAACATGCAATGAATAAATGCAATGAATGAATGCAAGGCCCCTGATATCATCAAGCCTTAAAGATGAAAACTCACCAAAATCCAGAAACTGCTTAATGGAGAGAGGGGAGGGGGAGAACCTGGAGTAAAACTCGATTTTAGGGTTGGTGCTTTTCAGCAGAGACACGAAGATCCTCATTGTGCAAGTTTAATGTAACGATGATGCCTCAGAATGAAATTCAGAACACACACATCTCATCCCCGGTAGTGTTGACAGCAGAACCCGGAAAGTCCTGCTCTCTCCTCGGCGTCACAGAGGCTCCCGGCCCGCGGGCCACCGGAGGACAGACAGCAGAGAGGAGGGTGAGAATTAATGTCCATAAGGGAGCAGAAACACACCGACGATATGTTGCAAAGAAGGCTTCCTGGATCTACATTGTTGAACATTCAGTCCAGGACAACACTTTCAAGCTAGACGCGATCAAACGCCGACTTCCTGTTAGGGTTTTTCAAAATAAAACAACAGATTGGAGGAACTAATGATGCTAGATAGATAGATAGATGGATAGATGGATAGAGAGATAGAGAGACAGACAGACAGACAGATATATATATATATATATATATAGAGAGAGAGAGAGAGAGAGAGAGAGAGAGAGAGAGAGAGAGAGAGAGAGAGAGAGAGAGAGAGAGAGAGAGAGAGAGAGACAGACAGACAGACAGACAGACAGACAGACAGACAGACAGACAGACAGACAGACAGACAGACAGACAGACAGACAGACAGATACATTTTCAGTAACAAATATAATGCAGAATATTATTGTGTAAGACATGGATTATTCAATATTAAATTGAATATAAATGATTTGATTTTAAAGTAGGAAGGGACCCGTTATAGGTTTTTTTTTAAGTGGCTTTTTATATATTTTATTTGTAATTAAATGTATATATTAGTTTTTCCTTCCTAACTTTAATTTACAAATGGTATAAAAGGGTCAAACAATGACATGCCAATAGAAACAAAGGTGCATACACTCTATGGTAGCCTTAATTAACAAACAACGTATTAAATAAATTAAAGCCAGTTTAATCTACAGATATCTTAGATTCTATTTTATTTTGAAGGAACATTCTTCAGAGATCCGTCTTTTTGCATCAGCTTGACAGTTGAACCAGATTCAACCGCACTTGACTCTGGCTTGTTGATGCACTGCGGTGATTGGCTGAAAACCAGGAAGTGGGTGAAAGCGATGACTCTATTGGACCGGCTGCCTGTCAATCACCGTGGTTTACGTTACCTTGTTTATCTGCAGCCTCTTACCGTAATACAGCAGGTTATTACCACCGTCTGTTTACATATGACACATGTGATTTGGTGACTGGCTTAAAACTGGTTTACTGATGCAAAATGTCCCATTGCATTGTAGGAAGGCTATTGTTATGGCAACTACCTGTAAGAGTATTAAGGCAGGTATGGATTATTATGATGTATTTAGGTTATTTACTACACTGAAAGTATGTAGGTAAATGTAGGGAAATACTATTATATCTTATTTGGTTAGATTATTATGACTCGTGTAAGTAGTATTATTATGTTGGTTGAGGCCTTATGACTTATAACTCAATAAATATTACAATAAAACATATACCTAGATACTACTTGTTCTTTATTTTATGCTTTAATTGTTAACTTTTGTACAGTAAAGAAAATACTATAATTAGTCAGAAATGCCATCACAATTACCGAAACGAGACACCTTCACAACGTCAACATTATTATAAATAAAAATAAATATAATCATTTTTATTCACAATTGAAGAATTTGAATTCCCAGATGTTATATTTAAAAAACAAATGTTAAGCAATTAAACAATTACCAATAAGCTATGCTTGTTTATGATTGGAACAGTGTGTGTGAAGTTCTCCTTCCTCCCAGACATGATGAATATGTACTGTATGTCTGCGGTGTCATAAATATTGAATATGTTAATATTAATTGTACAAACAGTTCAAGAACAAGACAAGCATCTGGTCATACTGTAAACACGGGCAGCTCATGATAAGCAGGTATCCTCCAGATTTAGGTTCTTACTGCCCCCTAGCGGTGAGTGTGTGAAACTGAAAGTATAAATGACACCGCAGAGAGACATGCAGTGTAATGTAATGTAGTGTAAATGCTGAAACTACAGATACAAATTCAATGTATTTCATTTACGACTCACAGAAAGACCTGTATAAATAAGTGGTGGGTTTCCCATTATATGAGGGGTCCTATCATTTCTTGTGATTTCCTAGAACGTAATTTATACTTCGATTTGTTATTAATACTTACACACTCTTTTGGTCAATGTTCATAAAGTAGCCTGAAGAGAATAGTCACACACACATACAGAGAAAAATCTAAATTTCTACTGATAAATTATTAATAAAACAATGTTTAGTTTTAACTGAGCAGTCACTTCAGTTGCACTTTTTACCACCGTTTCTTCTCCAGGACAATTATGAACATGTAAATGTCAATAATGTATAAATGCATCGTCTCTTTTTTTGGTAAAATCTAATTGAAATAACAAAAATGGGAACAAATATAACTGCTGGGGTGTGATTTGTGTGAGCAGTCAATCAAGCAGTTTTGTAGAAAGCTTGAACTTTTAATGAACACACTCAAGATTCATTTACATATAATTCATAAACATGTATCTTTATTGACTTATATAATCTCTTAACCAAACACTTGCGGGTAATAAAACACACACACACATACACACACACACACACACACACACTCCTTATGCAGACACGTGTACTGCCACCATCTTGGTGTTTTCGTTGATTTCTCTCTGCTCGTCCGGTAACGGGTCGTACTGTCGGCGGTAAAGCAGCCGCGTCACCAGCGTGATGATGAACATCTCCAGGACCAAAAGCTGCTGACTCATCACTGAGGAGAGACATGAGTCAGCACTTTGTCACACACTTGTCTCAAAACATAATTGGTTCCTTGAAATAAGGTCTGTGATTAACACAAGGTGAAGAGTTTCTGTTTTACAACAGAAAATACGTCAGTAAATTCACCAATTTTACATTTTTAAGCGTTTAAGTGTCAGGCCTTTTCATTCGAGTCTTTCTTCAATATTATGTCTTGTTTTACATAACTCTGTCTATCTGTGTCTGTAGATTTCTCCTAAATTCACCAAAAGTCAGCATTACATAACGCCTCAAAAGAATATTTAAACATAACATTTAATAAAACTGATTTATAGAGCATTTTATCACTAAAATATGTCAAAATTGATTTGCCAAAATTCCTATTTCACACATCTGGTCTTAAAACCTTCACCCTATTCGCCTGTAGTGTCTCCCCCCAAAACAACTGATTGCGCACGAGTGACTAAATGAAACTACAGATGTTTTCAGATATATTTAATAACATTTGAATGCTTTATTGATTTGAATGCATGCGTTTCTCCGTGTTGACTCACTGTATCCTCTGGATATGGAGGAGAAGGGCGGAGTGCAGGCGATGGTGCCGTTCAACGCCAAGATGTTGATGATGGCTGACTGCAGCTGGCTCAAGATCAGCACCAGCTACACACACACACACACACACACACACACACACACACACACACACACACACACACACACACACACACACACACACACACACACACACACACACACACACACACACACACACACACACACACACACACACACACACACACACACACACACACACACACACACACACACACACACACACACACACACACACACACACACACACACACACACACACACACACACACACACACACACACACACACACACACACACACACACACACACACACACACACACACACACACACACACACACACACACACACACACACACACACAGTTAAACCCGACAAACACTGGAAAACCCAGTAAAAACCTTATGACAGTCTTATATCCTGACATGTTATTAGAAATGTTTACATACATATATATGAGCGGTGAGGTGTGTGTGAACAGCTGTGTGTGTGAACATTAATTTGCTATGCTACACAAATATGGCACTATTAGGAAAGTGTGTGTGCAGCTCAGGTGTGTGTGTGTGCAGCTCAGGTGTGTTTAAAGAGTCTCACCTGGTACATGGCGTACTTGGGGATGATCTTGAGGGTCCGCAGGGTGACCCTCAGGTGTATAAACGTGATGGCGACCGGCCACAGGGCGATGATCGTCAGGATGCCCACGAACGGGTTGATCCATATCGCTGTTCCTGTGATGGTCAACTGGAACATGAAATAATAAAATAATGAGACATCATTTGTCAATTTGAGTCATTATGCCTTTACATTTGTGTTAAAATAACAATATTAACATTGCTATTGCTCTAAAAAGAGTCTTAAATGGACTGCTCCAGCCCATGTTTTACTTTCTTCTTCTCATCAGAATTATTTATTTTTCCTCGGGGGGAAATTGGGGTTCGTGAAAGTTGTTCATTTTCTATTTTTAATTACATGTTCATCTTTTACTCTCTCCTAGGAAACACTTATCTATTGAAGAAGCGTTCTGGAGTCACTCATTAATGAAGTCACTGTGACTCTTGAGTTACACATTACTTTAGGCTGTGTTATTGCAACTCAAAAGTCACAGTGACTTCATTAATGAGTGACTCCAGAACGCTTCTTCAATATATAGATAGATAGATAGATCGTACTTTATTGATCCCAAATTGGGAAATTGTTCTTGTTACAGCAGCATAAAAGGCATTTTAGAATAAAACAAAATATACAAGAATAGAAATAAAATAAAATAAAATAGAAAATAGAAAATATACATGTCGAAATAGAAAATATACATGCAGATATTATATATATATATATACAAATATATATATATTCAAAATATATGGAATTATGGAGTATTAAATATGAAACAGATTATGTACGAGTAAAATGTACAAGGTGGTTTTATTTCTAGAGAAACTATGGAGCAGAGAGTTCTCTTCCAGCCAGAGGTGATTTATTGTACAGTGTTATTGCAGTGGGCAGGAATGTTTTCCAGTATCTGTCCTTGAGGCAGGGGAGCTGCAGCAGTCTGTTGGAGAAGGAGCTCCGTTGACTGGTGCTCACCACTAATTCATAAAGAGAGTTTATGTGATGAGTAAATACTTAATGGATCATCAATTAATGAGTGTTATTGCTTTTAGGCGGCAGACAGAGCGTAGCAGGAAGAGAATAGTGCACGATAATCAAAAAGCATCATCAATGAATGTCTGCATGGCAACAGAGACAATGTTTGTCAGGATATTTACTCTGGATAACATGAGTCTCAGATGATCTTTTCCATGCAAGGAAGTCATTAATATATATCTGTTGTAATTTATTGTCTTTTATTGTGATTGTAGTAATGTGTTTTTATTACATGTACAGCACTTTGGCTCGACCAAAAATCGCTTTTAAATGTGCTTTATAA